GGTGTCAGATTTTATGGTCTGGGTTGGAGGCACTAAAGAAAAGCAGCACTGTCATGTCCAAGGTCCTACTTAGAAAAAAGAGCATTTCAAATTTGTGTAACCAATCCAAGCTATTCTAAAAGTATTAAAGAAAAAAAGCAAAAAACAAAACAACAAAACTTAAAATGTATTTTTTTTCACTTAAGTTTTCCCACTGGACCCAAAATTCTGGTCTTTTTGGTTCCCTTGACCTTGACAGCACAGTGTCAGTGGGGTAAGAGTTACTGAAAAAAGCTTTAAACCAAACAATCCATTGTGCTATCCTGAAGCTGGTTTGACAGTGTGCCTTTTGAAATTAGTGCTTAAATGACTTCAAGCAGGCTCCTGCAATTGCTGAGTCCTACATCTGTGTTCTTGGTGAAGTCCTGGCCCTGTGGAAACCAGGGGAAGACCTGCCATCCAGTTCTGTGGGACCATGAGTGTGCGTGTGTTCTTGGAGCACCTTTTAAATACACCTGGTCCCTTAGATGAGACTTCTTAAAACTCTAGTTTTAGGGTGACACTTGGTTCCCTGACTGAAGTCGTAACCTATCAAGTAAGAGGTAATCCTTTTTCTCAGGACACTTCCACATAAAGAGATCAGACTTGTGTTATGTCCACCCAGCTGTTCTGAAATGTAATGCTATTCTGTTGTGCCTTTATTTTTCCATGTAAAAGCAACTGCTGTAAGCTTTTTTTTTTTTTTTTTTTTTTTTTTTTTCCCTTTTACTAGTTTTTTCTGTCTGAAAAAACACTTTTCATTGCCCAGCTGTTATTTCTGGATGCAGTCTGTGATCCAGGTATTTCAAGAACCAATTACCTCAAACCTCATGTTAAACAGTGTTGCTATCTGGATTCTCCTTGTTACTACAATATTGTAACATACACAAACAGGAACCTTGCTATATATGGGTGTTTATATATATGTATCATATACATATATACATGTATATATATGATATATATATGTAAATGGAAAGTGATCCCCAAGGACTGAAGGAAAAAAGCAAAATTTTTTTGTTTTCCAACATTGAAACCAAAAGGGCTTCTCTGAAGCTCTATAATGGCATTGTGCTGGATATATATCAAGAAAGTGTTTTCTGAAAAGTGCTTCCTTTGTTAGCCTTTTATTTCAGTATTTTAATGGGGCAGATGATGTGATTGAAACACTATTTCTGCATTTTTTGGCCCATTTTGAAGCAGAGGCCTCTTAATCTTTCCAGTTGTTAGGAAAAAAAAAAAAAAAAAAAAAAGAAAACCAAAAAACTCAGTGTACAACATTCCAGTAAGGTTAGTGTTGCAAAACTCAAACGTGTTCTGGGAAGATTTCATAGCTTTTTTGTGAAAAGGAAGGCATTGGTCACACTTTATTCAACTTTTCCACTGTTTTGAGGAACTGAAGTTTAACTAGTAACCATCCTAGTCAATCAATATCCTATATCCTAATTCAGTAGTCACTGGCATCTCTGCATTGCCACCCCTGATAAAAGCAAAACACCAAAAAAAAAAAAAACAACAAAACAACCCAAACCAAAAATCCTGCCATGACAGAAGAGGAGGAGGAGGTTGGAGCACTTCATAGCTCCTGAAGGTGGACTTAGCACCAGAGCCACTTCGTGGGTAGCAAAAAACATGTTGGCAGTATCTAGAATCTGCCTGGCCCTTTTTCCAACTACCTGCTCCCAAGAACCTTCTCATAAAAGCAGACCTTCAGCCACTGTGACCTCTCCTTAATGGTACTTTGCTGAAGAGAGTTCTGGTCAGGATATATTTTCTGGGGAAAAGCAAAAAGACCATTCTTTTCATTAATATTTTACTGTACGTGTTCCCCTCCCAAATGTCTGTTTTTAATTGTATCTATGTAGCTGATGTAACATTGCAGTCTGCATTTTGCTTGGGCAAAATAGTAGCTTTTATTCCAAATAGCAATGAATTTACTAGTAGTTCACTTAATTAAGTACTAGTAATGAATTTACTGTTACTAAAGGAAGAAAAGGAGATGCTTCTCCTTCCCCATTTTTTCCTTGAGAGTCTATTGTTTCCATGGCTATCGATGGTTTATGATTATCTTTGGTAAGTCATTTACAAAAGTACTAAAAATCTCCCAGAAGGAGGCGTTTTGCAACACTGCTGGCCTTCCAATGGAATAACTATGATGCAAAAGTTGATCTGTTGGTGGATGAGAATTGAAGGAGGTGGTTACTGCAAACTAAGTAACATTCTTGACCTCAATTCTATGCCATAAGTCCGCACAATGCCATTGTCAATCTGCTCAAACTATCTGCTTATGAATTCTGCATGATCTTCATGATAGAGTTGAAAGTCTGATCTTTCACCTGTTAATATTTTCACATTCGTCCTTAAGTTTGACAAATTTTATACTGTAAAGTTGACTTAAGTACAGTTTGATGTCAATTCTTGTGGAAAGAGCTTTCTGCATGTAGCATTAGACACATACAGTTAAACAACACAGCATAGTACAAAACTCACAAGAAAATGTTTTGGCACCAGCAGAAAGAAATCTCACCCTAACCATTTGTCATTTTAAACCATCTTATTGTAAGTTTTACCAGCTACTTCTAAATTTGTGCTTTATTTAAAGAAATAAAATAAAAATCCTAAGACTTGTCTAGCGTAGTGAAATATGTGTATATCAGTTTTAGGATAAATAGCTAAGTCTTATTACGCTGTGTTACTTAACTTGTATATATAGAGTATACATAAGAGTTTGCAGTAACCTGTTTCTCCAGGATTTCCAGTTTGAATGGATTTAAACTCAGACTATGAGATTAAGTAAATGATTTAGAAGATTGCAGAATAAACTGAGTGTAAATTACAGGAAGCTCTATCAGATGGTGAAATAATTTTTAAAGAGTCTTTTGGTCCTTGGCTCAAATTCAATAAGTACTGTTTGTATACCAAGATATGTGAAATGTAAATGTTGTAGGTTATATTTCACTTTTGTAGCTATAAAAATGTAGAACAGAGATAGCTTGTACTACTGAGTTAACAAAAGTTATACTAAAGTATCCTGTTAAAGAAAAAAGTATACAGAGAGTTAAGCTCGTTGCTGTAACCCCTTTTGGATTGAAGTGTGCTGATTTTTTATATATGTATATTTTATATATATATTCTGCAGAAGTATATATATATAAAATGTATACATAAAATGGCCTAATGCAGACATCCATTGTATTGCAGTTATGAAATGAAGACATTTTGGAAAGAACATTGTATCATAGTTCATGAATTTGCAGTGGATCTTTGTTCCTTTTTACTGTGGTATTTTAGAAATGAGTCTCAAGTTTGAAATTAGATCTGCCAAGTTGGAGTTTTGCTGCTTCAGCTTTGCACTGGGTGTCCGAATAAACCAGTATGAATGTAGTATTTGCCCTGTGTGAAGCAGCTACACCCCAACAAATAGGAGGAAAAAAACTAGAAAGAACTATTTCAAGTTTATCTTTTTGTATATGAAAATAAACAGTAAATTACAAATAATTACTTCTGTTGTTGATGTGACGTTAAAAATAATTATTTTATTGACTTTGGCATCTAGCTGGAGTATTTCCTTTTTTACAGAAGACCGTTTTAATGGCATCTCTGCTATCCAAAATCCCTGACAGAATCCCTTCAAAGGCATAGCTGAGGACTCTACTAGCCACCATTTGTGAAATCCTCCAAAGGGAAGAGGGAAATAGCTTGAATCGCTGTGTCCTTTTAAGGGTGTTGTTTCTTGTAGCACTGTGGTAGCACCGCTTTTCATGCCCAGTGAAGAACTGCTCACGCAGAGCATTAAATATATGTTAAGCTGTATCAATACAAACTCCCAACAACGTAGATGCAGTTGCCAGTGACGGGGGGAAGGTTGTGCTAAATCTAGGACCTTGCAGTGAGGCATCTGCCCTTCGCTTCCACCAGCTCAAGCAGAGGAGCAGAGAGCAAGGGACAGTGAGTGCCTAAATGGTTCCAACCTGATTTATAAGAACTTGCCCGCTAATTCCTTAACAGTTGCTGGAAGTCACAATAAATGTATAGCTGCTATTAGAGATGTGGACAGTATGAACCAGCATGCCCCTGTTTGTGGTGTGCCCATGGTAACTGCACGACCAGGTCCTTGATGAGGACGGCTGGGTGTTTCCTCAGGCAAAGGATGCTGTTAGCAAACATGCAGAGGTGCTGCAGGGTTCCCAGTCAGGGCAATAGCTTTGACAGGAGGTAGCTGCTGTCAGGGTGAGCACTGGACCCAGAACTGAGATGCACCTTCCGTACACCATGGGTGTTAGGCCTTTTTTTTCCCCCCTCCTCAGCTTCAGCTAAGCACTGAACAGCATTCAGTGAGGCAAGAGGACTGGACCTGGAAAAAAAAATTTAAAAACAAAAGCCTGAGCTCCCCGTACTCTTAGCAACACAGTGAGCTCTGTAATCCCCACAACATGAGGCAAGAAGGTGCCCTCAGCTGCAAACTGAAGCATAGCCAGACCTCTCCAAGCAAGCTGCTTGCATCAAAGCCCTCGTTTTCTGTTGTAGTCCATTGCTGAGCTGGTCCTTCTTTTCAGCAGAAATGCCTCTTGCTTGGTGCTGGGTTGGAAATGCCTGCAGTGGACCCACGTGAGGCCAATATGAACAGTAACAGGCACCTGTGAGGGGAAAACAGTAATAATTGGGCTGGTGGTTTTCCTGACAAAAAGCCCGATGTCAAATCACCAAATGGTGACTAAACCCAACTCGCACCTTACTCTGGGGCCGGGGCCCTGGGCTATTGCCCCCCACCCCGCCTCAGTAGCTGGGGAATACTTTAGCCACCCGTCTCCGGGAGGTCCCTGTAACCCCCGTGAGGGCGCACCCCGCTCCTCCGCTCTCCCTTTTCCGCAGCCCCCGGCCAAATCCCGCTTCGCTCGTTCCCCGCGCGTCGTTTTTTCCCCCCGTTTCCTCACGGCGAGGCCGCCGCGCTGAGGCGGCGAGGCCGGCAGGGGGCGCCGCGGTGCAGCACGCCGCGGCGAATCGCCGCCCGCCCCGCCGCCATGGCGGCCTTCACCCGCCGCCGCCGTTTCGCGGGCGGCTTCGTCTGCGGGGCTGCGGCGGGCGCCGCTGCCTCGTGCTGGGCTACGTGGCGGTTCATCCGCAGCCGGAGTCAGCCGGACACGGTCCCCGGGCGAGTCGGGCCGGAGGGTAAGAGCTGCGGGTACAGGGGAAGGCCGGGCGCGGCGGCTCCGTGTGGCGGGAGCGACGGCGCCTCAGCGAGGCCCTTGTCCCCACAGGCACCCTCCCCCCTCAGCCCCTAAACCCGCTCCCTCCCCTCAGAGCAGCCCTCTCCCCGCCGCCTCCCTCCTGGGGCCGCCAGGGAGGGAGGGCGGAGTCCCCTGTGGCGGGGAGGAGGTTATTTGGGGGTGCTGGGCTGCAACGTGAATTAAAAACGCAGCTTCCCTTGCTGCACCTGCTCACGCCGAGGTGTTGGTGACCAGTGAGGAAAAGCGGTTTTGTGCGGTGGCCGCGATGGCTGCAAACGCCCCGTCTTGCAGTGGGGAGTGGAGAGCAGTTGTGCTGGGTGAGCTGGTCATGTCCCCATACTATATGCATGCATATATATATACATACATATATGTTTACTTCTAAACACATAGTTTAGGTCAGGCTGTAACTAAATTTCAGCTATTGCTTCCCTGGGGAGACAAGGTCGGCAGGGATGGTAGCCATGGCCCGCTCGCTGTGGGGGAAAACCGTGGGGGTGTAAGGCGTGGGGAGGGGGCTGCTGGGGGAGCACCAGGCCCTGGCAGGAATGAATGGTTTTCTCTGCAGCCTGAAGGCTTTAAAAGTATCGGAGCATTGGAAAGCACAGGAAGAATGGCTCCAGAAACGTGAGTTGCTGTCAAACAGATGGCTGGAGGATGAGGAAGTCAGTGAGACGGATGTAAATATTCCTCTATGAGAGAAAAAAATGTTCCTTGCAAAAAAAAAAAAAAAAAGTCTCAAAGTGAAGCTTTCATTCATTCAGCAGAGTGTAGGCATTCCTGGTGAGGGCAGGACTTGCACTTGTGTTCAACTCATACATCTCCGTTTGTGAGGAGGAGTGCATTTTCCAGTCTGAAGGGTGAAATGTGTGTGTTGATGTCCTGTGTCGTAACTCCTTGTTGCCTGATTTATCCCCAAATATCTGATTGTTTTTTCCTCTGAAGGCCAGCCCAGAGCAAGTGCTGGGTAGATGTGTGTAGGCGTTGGAGTGGATGAGATAGTCCTAGCGTTGAGATCCTCATATGAGGACAGAATGAAGAGCATAACTTTTTTGGTAGAAGGAAGTTTCACTGGAATGCTCTCAGTACATTTTTAGGTCTTAATTGTGGCACTAACCTCAATTAGTTCCTTATATAGTATGTTTACATCCACTGAGATGCTTTTCTTAATGTCATCACTGGTCACATTTCATCTTTGGATGGCTTTCTGTTTATTTTTCTTCTTAGAACTGGTGGAAGAATCTCTGCTGGAAAAATATGGATTCCCTGAAGCTGGAACAGAGACCAGATGTTACACAAATCATGCACTGTCTTATGACCAGGCAAAACGAGTGCCTAGATGGGTGATAGAGCATATTTCAAAACAGAAGACACTGGGTATGTAGGTATTTATTTACTTACGTTTGTGACTCCCAGAATGGGCTTTGCTGTTCACAGAAGGTGGATCCAGGAGCAGGCAGGGAGTAAAATCCTATAGTGTTCTCTAAGTATGAATTTTTCCACCCATTCACAATCCCACTGGAGGCAGCAGGCCTCTGGGCAGATGTCAGCTTCATGACAGGATTAAGGCTGATGTTGCCAATGATTTAAAAGAAATCTGTCACTGTAGGTTGGCAGGCCTCTTCATTGTTCTTTCTCTTGTTGGAACTAGTCTGGTATTGAATGTACAAGGTCCTAAAGCCTGCCTGATACACATGGGCAAAGGCGGAGTATGAAGGGGAGGAATGAAGAACTGGAGATACCTTCTGTGAGAAATCTGTTACGAATTTATGAAACAGTCTGTAAGCACCAGATCAATATAGCTGTGTCAGTGTGAACACTCTTAAGTCATGTCGCAGGAGGGAAGTTTAACTTACCTCTTCTAAATATGAATGGAGAAAAGATGAAACACTGAAAATTAAACTTTCCTTACCTGATTCAGACCTGCAAAGTCCAGTGTTACTGCTCAAGAGCATAAAAATTGCTCTTGCTTCCTTAGCTAGTGTAGTTAGTTCTGTGATCCAATTTATGTCAGTTTAGGTACTGCCCCATATGTGTGAATCGTTGTGGAGTCAACACCTTTAGTGACCAGACTGTTTCATCTACAGATCTTAAAGAGATTTACTCAAAATGGAAAGAAAAGATTAATGTCCATTTGTGAGATAAAAACGGAGCAAAGGTCATCAACAGTTGTAATTGTTCAAAGCTAGGTAGGCCATTACCTGCTCACTGCAGCCATTATTTACTTTGATGCAGTTCTGTTGTATTTGCTGATGTGCATTATCTAATGCTCTCTCCCCTGTTCTTTATGCAAGTCAGAGGCTCAGTGATTTTTTGCTGTCAGTGGTGAATGAAATATGAGTGGTATACAGTCACTGTAAATTAAGTTTATAGCATTAGTTCAGTTTTTATAAGGGAAATTATTAGTAGTGGAGGTAACTGTATAATTGTAAAATGTTTTATGAGCGCAGTACCCCTCTAAATATATCTTAATCACTGTCTTCAAATTACCTTTCAAAATTAAAAGCGTGATCCTGAAAATATTTATAACCAACCCCTAAGTAGCATCATTGATTCCATTTCTTTCTGAGAAGAAAGCAGTAATTCCAGGCATACTTTCAAGTGGGCCTTCACAGCAGAATTGTTAAAATGTTTTCCAAATGTTCAGATGCAACTGACTTGCAAGTTGAAGTTAAGCATCTTGAGGCATTCAGCTCTGATTTATGTCTGATAGCTACTCCAGTAGAGATTTGAAGTGGAACTGTGTTGTTTGGGGAAGGTCACAAAACCCTTCCATATCTTGGAGTTTTGAAAGGACATGATGTAAAAATTGTATTTCAGTGATAAGTAATAACTTGAATGTTTAAAAAACATGTTGGAAAGAAGGTAGCTTTACATGTAAATGAGATGGACGAAAGTGGTTTCAGAAGAAATTAGCCGTTTTTATCAAAACAGTGAACAGATAATAAAATAGCTGTTTTTATCAAAACAGTGAACAGAGAATAAATGAGCATATATTTTTCCATTTTTCAAGTTTAATTGATAAATTACACTTTAAATAATTAGATTAAATATTTTTTAAGAATCAGAATTCTGATGTTTTGCACACTTGTAAACTTGTCAGTGTTGCTTCCTAAGTATGAATCCTGTGTTGAAGTATCATGTCACATACTTTACCAAAAAAGAAAAGAGAAGTGAAGCACCTTCCTTCTCCCTGCACTGCGTGAAGATGCGCTGACCACCTCTCCGACATCACCTCTATGGACGTATGCACAGATGGTCAGCAAAAAAGAGAAAATTGTTTACAGGCACTGGTTTCCAGGAGATGCATTATCCCTGTGCATGCTCATTTCCCACCCCTCCCCTTCTTCCTCCTGGTCCTTGCATATTCTCGGGCTTTTCAGAGAGCTGCTGAGCGGAGAACGTGTACCACACTTTGTTCTCAGTACGGAGCACGAGGAAGCTCAGGGTGCATGTGTGCTCAGTGATAATATTGATGTGACAAAAAAGCCAGAGTGTGTGCAGTTTGTGTGTGTATGCACAGCCAGCTATAGAAGAAAGAATAATTTTAACAACTAGCAGTGATCACTATTGAAAATTACCCCTCATGTTGTATTGCAACAGGAAGTGCTTTATAATGTGCCAAGTTTGAGGAGAATTCTGGTGTGTACAGTCCCTGATTCAATTTTAAGAGATTATGTAACGGTTTTGTATATTGTATCTGTGAAATTATGCCTAAGATGACACCCTGAATTTTATAATGAAAAAACTCAGTATGTTGTGGATACTTTGAATTATATTGTCATTTGGGAAAAACAATTGTGGGCAACAGTGATGGCGCTCTAGGCCAGTAATTTTCCAACTTCACACTGTGCTGCTGCCTGCATGGAGCCATTGCACAGGCACAGCTGAGCCCTTGAGCATGCCTCCGCTGCTTCTCTGGAGCACCTTCCTTAACTATGGATGTTCTTGGGTCCCAGGCCATTCTGTAGGAAAGACGGTGTCTTATTGGAGGCTGTCAATGCCAGAATAATTCATGCAAGTCTCTTCTGGCCATCACTTTTCCGAGGAAGCAGTTAGTGTTTGGGATGCAGTGCTCTCAGAGTTGCAGCCCACTCAGAGTAACATCTTTTCCAAGGAGTTGACTGGGACTCTACACAGTGCAAGGACACAAATATAGGTGTATGGCCAGTAAATCTGTGAAGAAGACACAGGCTTCCCAGGAAAGACAGCAGCTTAAGAGTGGGCTGACATCTCTGAAACGATGAAATTAGTTCCCCTGATAACTCTCCCCCCAAAATTTTTTTGTCTACCAGAAGACTTAAGCCTAGTCAGTTTGTGCATAATTCCCAAGTGTCTGGAAAGGCAGGAGGGGAATCTTGAAAAGGAACAGGAAAGCTCTCTCTTATTTCTGTGCCCACGAAGAACAAAACACTGAAGACTTTCTCCTGAATGGGTTTATTATTTTGCCAAGTGTAACATTATCAAGATGCACCCATTCTATTTCCAGGCTAGAGTTGGAAAAAAAATAAATAGTTGTAGCGGATCAAACATAAAAATGGAACTACAGCTAGTGAAGATCTGTATATCTTCACTAACATAAAAAATGAATCGATACTGGTTTATATCTTTAGCAATCTTGCTTTTAGTAGTAATCTGCATTTATGATAAGGCCGATGTACTTTGCTTTTGTTTTTTCTCTATAAAACAGCATGCTAGAATTTCTAATGTGTAGTGAGAATGAATGTAGGACTGGAGCACAGATATTAAAGTTGAATTGTACTATTGTATAGTTGAGAAGAAAAGTACTCAATTTAGATTAAGGTATTGAATCCTTAAGCATGGGTCATTTGACAAGATATGACAAAACCAGTTCTTTTTGTCTTGTTATGACAGTTTAATGATAACCTGACAATTTAGTGTGTTATTCCTCAGGCAATGCAGACCGAAGGCACTGTAAATTCAGACCGGATCCTAACATCCCTCTAATGTTTAGTGCTGTCAATGAAGACTACCTTGGGAGTGGATGGTCACGAGGACACATGGCACCAGCGGGCGATAACAAATTTTCAACAGTAGGATTCTTTTTCTTTCTTTTTAATTTGTGTTTATCAATTGGAAAGGGTCAAAAGACTCTTAAAATTAATGTGTGATGTTCCTTTTGCAGTTTGTTTTGAGATGGAACATGATCTCATTATTGATGCACAGACCTGGACTTGGAGTTACAAGGTCTATTCCTGACTGAGCACTGTAGGATGCTCTCACAGTCTGCTTCAGGCGTCTAAATCAGATGCATCCTCTGGTGACATACCTCTCTTCATTAAATCATACCTAGATTAGCTTGTTTGGCAGACATGATGTGAGTATATCTTGTACAGTACAGTGTTAAGCAAGTTTTCTCGACCTCTTGTATGTCACATTGTCTACCTGTAAAATAAAGATGATAACCATCACCAAACAAACTTCGGAAGTATCTTCTGAAGCTCCGTTAAAGGGAGACAGGGAACGATGACTTCATTCTGGCCAACAGGTGCTGAAATGTTTAAGGCTAGATTGAGCAAAGCAAAGATGCTGTTAAGTACTGTTCTGTATTGGCAAGGGGATTGCCTGCATGATTTAAAAGGCTTTTTCCTTTCTGGCAATGTGTATGAGGTAAATTAGAACCTTCTTTTGCTGTAGTTCTTTCAGTCTGTAAAATGTCTTCACCTGCCATTTATTTGAGCTGTAAGAAAAGCATGCCCTAATGCTTTGGCTGACTAACAAAGTAGCCTTGGATTTATTGGATCCTCTTGTGAAATGTGCATAATGCAGCAATTTGTCAATTAAGAAGCAGTTTGAATTTGTATTTCTGCTAGCCAGAGTAGTATGCAGTGGGGCAGAGTGACGGCATAGTGACATGTGGTGGATGAAAGAACCAGTTGTTTTATTTCTACTGGAAGTGCCTTTGTGGTTATTTATTTGGGATATCTGGTGAGCTACCTGTCCAGAGAGATCCTGAACCTGGCTTGAAATGCAGTGAGATGTTACTAACTTTCAAATACAGCATTATAAACATTTAATTTCACAGTTTAATTAGTGTTGATAGTGTTTGCTCATTAACCTAAGGACTTCTGTCAGCCCCTTCACTTTGAAAAAGTAGGAGGTGAAAAGTATTGACAAGTACAGGACCTATGAAGATTCTGGGTTAAGGTCATGGAAATTTTTTTCCCTATATTTCCCTGCATTTGTGGCCAGCAGGTTGAGGGAGGTGTTTCTCTGCCTCTGCTCTTGTGAGACCCCCCCTGCAGTTCTGTGTCCAGCTCTGGGGCCTCAAACATCAGAAGGACATTGACCTGCTCGAGCGGGGCCAGAGGAGGCCACGAAGATGCTCGGGGGGCTGGAGCAGCTCCCCTGGGAGGCCGAGCTGAGAGAGTTCGGGAGTTCAGCCTGGAGAAGAGAAGGCTCCAGGGAGACCTTAGAGTGGCTTCCAGTGCTTAAAGGGGGGACAGGAAAGGTGGGGAAGGACTCTTTATCAGGGAGTGTGGGGATAGGATGAGGGGTAATGCTTTTAAACTGAAAGAGGGCAGATTTAGATTAGATAGAAGGAATAAATTCTTCCCTGTGAGGGCGGTGAGGCACTGGCACAGGGTGCCCAGAGAACCTGTGGCTGCCCCCTCCCTGGAAGGGTTCAAGGCCAGGTTGGACGGGGCTTTGAGCAACCTGGGCTGGGGGAAGGTGTCCCTGCCCCTGGCAGGGGGGTTGGAACTGGGTGATCTTTAAGGTCCCTTCTAACCCAAAACATTCTATGATTATATGCTATGATTCTATATGTGTAGTTTTCTAGCACCGGGTTCTTCACATCTGGAGATATGTGGGCTTCGGTTCAGAGAGGTTTATGACACTTTCTAAAGATAAAATTAAGCATATATGTAGATATTTGACCATTATGGTTTCATAAATAATTTCATTTCCTACATGTTATGTATTTGTAAAATATTGATGAATATTTTTTAAAAAAAACCTTTCTTGTAAAGGAAAGAAAAAGCTAACCATTAGGCAGTCAAAAAAATGAAAAGCATGAGTGAAACCATCCTTCCCATTCAAAAAGAAGAGTAGCTAGTTGCTTCCAAAGACATTACAAAACTGACACTGGGTGACATAGTATTTCTTGTGCCTCTAGAACTGGACATTCTAGTGCTGTTTCTGTCAAAAAAACCCCAACCAAACAGTAGATACATTTTGCAAGGTTTACACCTCTGTTAGGCACCTCTTAATCCAAAATAATTTTGTAGATGTTCTGAGTTAAGTTTTATCTGATCTTTTGTTGATAATGTTGCAACTAAACTAGAAAGATTCTGATCAAAACACTTCTAAAGTGTGTTTACAACTTGTAAATGTTTCAATAAAATATATTACTTTCTTTATGCAGAGAGCTATGGCCGAAACATTTTATCTGTCGAACATCGTGCCTCAGAATTATGAAAATAATGCTGGATTTTGGAACAGGTGAGAGATTACTTGTAAGTAAACTAAGTGAAAAACATCAGGCCTTGGCATAAATAGAAAACACTTCATCACATCTAACTATTCTCGAGCACTTTATAAATTATCTGTAGAGATCATAGGAAATTTCTCTGAAATAAAAGACAGCTCAATCCTCACAGTGCAAGAACAGTATAATAACTACTTTAGTTCTTTATTCAGTCAAACTGTAGAGGACATTTATTTGGAGTAGACAAAATTACTACTTCTGGCTGATGTGGGTAAAGGTACCAGGCTTAACATCTCTCCTTAATGAAAATTCAGTAGAAGCAAGGAAAGGGTTTAGATCTCACTTTAACATCTCTTCCTCAAAAAAGTGCTTCCAGTGTGAGAGTATTCACATCGTTGTATGTGGATGTTGGTTCACTTTGAACTGAAGAACTGAGCGCTCCCCACTGAGTCGTGACTACTTCAGGTCTTAGGTGTTCCTTCAAGTGCTGGCTTCCATGTAGTAGGCAGGCAGTTCTCTGTCACTTGTGGTTGCTGGCTGGATTGGCTTTGAGGAGAAGTGAGTGGTTGATAAATTTAGACTTTCTTCATGTAGGATTTTTATTCTTTCCCTCCTTTGAGCAGAGAAACACATTAATGAAAGTAGCATTCATCCAGTGCTTCTTGCATAGGACTTACAGAATGTTAAGACTCAGGAGGGAAAAAAGAATTTCACAAGATCTGCTTAAGGGAAGGTTAGCAAAATTATGTACAGTATTGTACTAAAAGTCTATCAAAAATGCATCATCATTCAACTTCACACTGCTTTCCAGTTTTACAAGAATGCATATAAAATCATATGAGGCATTCAGTAAGGTTATTCTGTTTTATAGACAAATAAAATGCTGTAACATTTTTAAGAGATTTTTTTGTTATTGTTTTAATACCTCAACTATTTGAGCATAAAATTTCCCTATACCAAAGCTAGGCATTCGTACCAATTCGAGGTTGGAAACCCTCTTTATTTCCCTTGAGCAGGATCTCTTCCTATTCAGGAAATCATGGGGAGCGCTCAAAAATCTCCATTGGCACTATCAGTCCTACAATTTAAGCAGCTATTATCACTTTCTCCCAACCCCAGCAACCTATCCCCACAGTTTAAATACATGAACCAGGTGTTTGTGCCACTTGTCAGTTACTTTTTTAACGAAAAATAATTTTAAGGATACTGTGTTTCACATGTGTTGTATGCCATCCTGGCTTCAGTGTTCTCTTCCTCTTTTTTTAATTGTTTGCTTCTTAAATTGTCTTCTGAGGTGCAGGTAGACAATACAACTTAGTTTAACAGTCTATTGTTTTTTTTTAAAGCAGTGTTCACCCTCCAGCCATGTGGTTTTTTTCTGCTTTCCCACTTCCAGCTCTGGTATTAACCTGACTGTGGCAAGTCAATTCCATTTGCTAACCCAGTTAAACTGATTCGCATTTTGTTTTGCTTGGTTATGTTTCTGCCAGATTAGAAAATTGGATCAACTGGTGAGATGAGTGTAGAGATGGAAGATGGAGTAGGACTGTTCAGCTGAGGCAGACAAGGGGAGCAGTAGGAAAGGGGACAGCAGGACTGCATCTTTCAGCAAGCTATTAGATAGTAAGCTATTAGATTATTTCAGCAGTGTGGTCTGACTGCACCTCAGTATTTATTCCTCATTCTGTTCCCACCAACATGGATGCTTCTTTCTTTGCTGGTGTTTTCTGTCATGTTTTGAGTGTGATTTCATGGTCACTGTAATCTGATCTCTGTCCCTGCTGCCACCAAAAGCAGTTTTCTCCCTAGCTGCATTTATTCCCATTCTTTCGTTGTGCCAGGTGGTGTTTGTATTGCCATGCCGGGAGACAGCCTGAGGAGCTGAGCTGCTTGGAAGCAAAGCTGACGACAGCAGGAAAAAAATTAGCTTGTAGTCAATGCTTTGACATATCACATGGCAACTCACTATTACCAAAGGAGAAAGGGCTCGTTTCTACTAATTCAGATTCGTGAGGCTCATTCCTGCTAATTCTGATTTGTGTGAGCTGATTTAACTCACTAACCCAGCACAAAAAATGACTGGTTTTGTTGAGGGTTATTGACAGATGAAGAGTGCTAACGGTAGCCCAAGTGACAGGCATGAGGAACAGGGATGAGACAGAGACTGGTCAGAAACTCCCTTTTGTAAGGAGCCAGATCAGCTGGGCTTATCTGTCTCGTGTCCTGGTCTGTTTGTCCATTTGAGTGAAGTGCAGCTCTGTCTTTAGTGAAGGGCCGATGGGTGCTCACTGTATGTGATTTCTATAACACTTGGGCTGTAGATCAAAGGTGGACTATAATCTTTTGTTTTATGTAAAATGGGTGTGATCCAGAAACCTTCCTATTTGGAGAAATATTTTATGCTGTAAACTGAATCAATTAGTTTAAGAAGCAAAAATAATGTTAGTATTTCTGGAGTTAGTACTTTATTTTTAAACAGTTTTATATAAAAAAAACAGTAAGTAGACTTAGTGAGAATGGCATGTAGAAACTTTCCTAAATACTCTGAGCTATGAAAAGATCTTTCTGTTGCAGGGCATTGATTCCTCGGGGAGGAACATGCAAATCCGGTAATGTGGTAAAACCTTTTGAAGTAAAAACCTCACAACCTGCTGTTTCAAATGAGTAATTTACTAATCTGAAGTGACCATCAACAGCATCTTTCTAGTGTCAAGTATTGGGAGTAAGGAGGGAACTCAGATTTTCAGGACAGATAGTAAGGCTATAGAAACCATTTTCAAATGTGTGTGATAACACATGCCTGTCTGTAAGTAAGTGAACCTGGGACAAGTGGGAAGTCTTGGGCCTGCACTTGACCTTCTTTGACTTGTCTTGTGAGTCGGTCACATGAGTTTGGAAGAATGCTCCCAAACTGTCAGTATTTCATCTTGCTCTTCACAGTATGTTTCAAAGATTATTATGTTAAATTTTCCCAGCTGACTTTACCCTATCTGACAAATATGTTCCAGAATGGAAATGTATTGTCGGGAATTGACTGAGAGATTTGAGGATGTTTGGGTAGTTTCTGGACCTCTGACCTTGCCTCAAACAAATGATGATGGAAAGAAGAGTGTTACTTATCAGGTATGTATCTATGTTGCTGGGTTAACAGTGCAGTGGCAATACTATATTTATTTAAAATTGATACTGTAGCTTGATAAAGTTAAACATCGTAGTACATGCAAAATGTACAAAATGTCCAATGCTAGTTGGGACAAGTTCAGTAGAGATGTTGTATCTTACCTACACATGAAAAAGTATAATTTAAAAACAATTTATTTCCAAAGAGAGATCTATTAAATGTTTGTTCACAGTCTGCAGTAAACTGTTTTCTGACTTCCATAATACATGACAGTATTTCAGCAGAGAGTTAGTGGGTTTTGCTGATGTGTAAGCATCTGTTCAATCATTTATTGATACATTTTAGAAGCAGTGCAATACAAAGCTAGTGTGAGTTTCTCAAAACTGTACAGGGTATTGAAATGTCTGAGCTCCATTCATTTCAAAAGCAGTTGTTTGCTGATACCCCACATGCATCATTTAGATGAGGCCATGCAATTGAGATTCTGAGCATACCAAAGTCAACTGAAAGACTTCATTCAAGTTCAGTAGTTTTTAGGTGAATGGAGTGTAATCGCTGGTTCACAGTACTGTACCCCCTCTTCTTATTTTTGGTCCCCCATTTTTATTACCTGCTTAAAATACTCTGAAGATTAAGGATTGATAGTGCACAGTCTCTAGAAACCATCGCTGATAGATAGGAGAGGCTATCAGGTTGAGAGGTGAATTTATTATTGCTTATCCTGACTTACTCACTGTAAGCATGTGTTTAGTCATCTGTAGGATCTGAGCATAGTAAGGTATTCAAGGAAGGAAGTATTACCTTCTGCCCCTACTGTAATGAGATACCATTGCTGTTTTCAGCTGCTAGATGAAAGGTAGCATAATGCAAATAATAAATGCTGTATTTTTCGCCTCTTGAAAAAAAACACTTTTCCTTGAAAATAAGTACTCGGATCAACTACAGCTTCAGCTCTTGAGTGATTCAGCTATCCAACTAGTTCTCTGAAGAGCAGTGAACAAGCTTGCTATAACAAGCCCCTATTTCAAAGGAATATGAGAGACACAAGAGAAGAGGGATGTTCAGATTTCAACACCAGCATTTTTAGTGGTGAGATTTAGGCACTATTTCTCCATTATAAATACACAGCTGATTTCCATTTGATTGAACTTGAAACTCAGTCATGGTAGAATGTAATTTTTCCTGCTTGCTCTTACCTTTTTAATTCTTGAAAAACTGTCCCTTATGTCCCCACCCGCACATGTCTGTAACCTTGACTGATGAAATCACAACTTTGATTTTGGGTTTGTTGTTACTTTTTTCCCAGTCACATGTTATGCATATGAAAATGCAGTAATGATAATTTATCTTTTTCTTGTTCAGTATCAGTTCCAACTTCAGCACATCTTTGTGAGGAAGGTGACAACTGTGCTCATTTTCAAGCAGATAAATAAACCGTGGTTAAGGGATATGAACAATGTGACATGATAAGTTAGTGGCAAAGCCAGCTTGATACTGGCAGTGGTTCCTTGGCACCCAAAGAGAGACTGCTGACTTTGCTATTGCCCATTATACTTTCCAGTCCTTTTCGTTGTCTGCCAGCGCTTATGACTGTCAGATCTTACCAGAAGATGCTTAATTATGCAGTGCAATAGAAGACCATCCATACTGGACTCTGTTTACTGGGCTAGTTTTCTACTGCCATAGAAAGAGAGCAGCACACAGAGGAGCCCAGCACTTACTTGTGACAGCATGAGATATGTCCAAATGCACATAGCTGGGAGCAGGAGGGAGATGTTCCCTTTCAACAGTCTGGAGCTGAGTGTTTGGCTTACTGTCATGCAGAATGGTACCGTAAGAGTTCTCCAGGCTTGAACATAGCTTGCTGGAATTTGCCTCCTTTTAGGTGTCAGGATATTGCATTATTTTTTATCTCTAAAAATACATATTCATCTTAAAATAGCAAGGAATTAAAAATCCTGAGCTGACTTGAACATTTTATAACTGGAAATTATTTTCCAGGAAGCAGTTGAATCATCTATCAACTGCTTCACTTTAATCTTGGTTATCTTTTTCTAGTTTTTCTCTAGGGAAAGTGTTTACTTAGAAGAGAAAAATTACCTTTTATGAAAAATTATTATGACTCCATTTTGGTTTTGAAATGTAAATTTGAGTATTCCACAGGTAAAAATAAGAGCAGGCACTGCATCTGACTGCCTTTATTCAAAATAACTTGATATCAGGATACAGTGATGCAATAATAGTGGCACAAAATGTCCATGCTGCTTTGATTATCATATCATTCTGTTCTTGTCTGTTGCCAAGATGTCTTCATCATCTTTGGGTTTGATGACAACTCTGGTCTTTTATGAATGTTTTATCAGTTTTGGTCTTAATATAAACTATGAAGTGAAGTTCAGTGTGAGATTGAAAACAGTGGAATGATGGTATTCATGTTTTCATTTCACCATTTGACCACGTTCATAAATCCTTTACTCAGCTTCCTACAGTGAGATTCATGATGTAAATTGATTTGTATTTAAGTACAGATAATGCTGTCTACAGGTGGAAAAAGTAAAATGTTGATTTGGGGCATTTTTTTTAATTTTGTTTTAAATATTAAATTATTTGATTTAGGTCCTCTTTGGCTACACTCTTAAGTGTAAATAAATACAGGCTGAGAAATGGTTATTTTTAAATCTCTTTATGGCACAAGTTCTTGTGCTTGCCATTGGGCTCTCTTTGGGAAGAAAGACTTCAGAATGAAGTAGAGTGGTCACTTGGTTTTGTTTTTATTTTGTTTTGGTTTTTTCTTCTTACATCAACGCATACACTTAGAAGGGAGAACACAGCTTGCCAGTGCACTGGAGAGAAGTTATTTTCAAACAGATACCTCGGATATAATTGCAATCATTGCCATTGATTTTGGTAGTTTGGGATTTTTCCCCTAAAGCCAGAACACTAAGAGTTGGTAGCTGATTGGGAAGGGAAGGTACCTCTTAGCTGTCTTTCGGAGTGAGCTCTGCTAGGTTCAAACAAGTGACTTAGAAATGAAAGGCTTTTAGTCCTCATTGTTTGGGTTTATGAAGCTGATGTGAGAAGATGTCATTTTTCTTTGTATGTGCTGTTTAAGGAGAAGTGCTGTAGTATTCACAATAGTGCTGAAACTCACAACCTGTAATCTGGCAATGTGACTATTAAGGCTGAGCTCCTTTCTAATATTTTTCTTCTCCTCTGAGACTAGAACTGTGGAAAAAAGCAAGCACAGAAGTACTACAGTGAATGTGTCTGCACTGATTTGCTTCAGATCTTTTTTTCAATCTTAGTTTCCTTTTTTTTTGGCCAAAGGAGTGTTGAAATACGTATCCATGGCTTTACAGGCTGGTGTTTTTCTCATCAGACATCCAAAAAGGTTATTTTTAGATCACTATAGAGGAAAAACAGAGCATCGGTCATGGCATTGATCCCAGTTCCTGCTTGGACTCTGGTACCATTTGCTGTTTAATTCCAGAAAGGGAATTAACCTTGAACTCCTTAGATGCCAGCGTTGTTCTATCTATTGGCTGAACTTGCTGTATCCTCAGATACGTTCTGTCATTTCATCTGTCTCCAGTGGAGGCTTTTATTGCAAAGAGGAGATTGATGACCGTGGTTGGTATCTGAAAAACATATTTTGAGAATATATGTAAAATAGGATGCCAACAGGAAAAATCTGTTCTATGTCATTGGAGAGGCAGATGCAGGTTTTTCAGTTTTGTCCAGATCAAATCAAAATGACATTGTCTTGTTTTATACATTAGTGTTCTCCAGGGACTGTCACTTTAGTGATTTTCCTCTGTCAGCCGGTTCGGTGCTTGAAATACAAATTTTGCAATTCTCCTGCATTGTGCTCCATGCTCCACCCTTCTTATTCCCAATGCCATGGTAGTAAATACCAATTTAAGAAGAATTGACTCTGGTTGGCAAATGAAAGTACAGTTTAGATAATGTTTTGTTTGTTGTTTGAAGACATTTTTATGTACTTTTTAGTGATATACTAGGTTCATACTGGAATCATGTTTGCTGTTTAATTTTCAAAATTGAATGGCTAGACTGGACCAGAGATACACAATAACTGTACTGGAAGATATGCTTACTTGTGATCAAGATCTGTGGCAAGTAAGTCCTTGGGAAAGAAATTGCATCTCTCAAATATAAGATGGTACTTTAAGGTTTTCCCCAGTCAACTTTCAGAAGTAGTAGAGGTTTAATCCAAGATACAATAGGAAACCTTCTTAAAGGAGGAAATAAACCTGGAGACTACTACCATTTGTTGGCTGCTCCAAATGGACTCAAGGCTACACAGGCAGCTTATGGATCTAGGTCCATTATACGTGTCCCATAAAACTTATGTTCAACAAGCTAGATCTTAGATCAGCTGGTGTAAATGACTAGAGCTCTGTCAGCCCTAAATTTAGACATGATGTACAAATGAAATTAATAGGCACTGGGTTAAGACTGGAGGAGAGGAGACACCAAAGGTGCAGGATAGATTTATGGGGTTACTTTTATTTAGCACTGTACCCATCCAAAGGTTCTTTTATTATAAGAAGAGTGGTGATAGGGACTGTAGTGAATTCCATGTTAAGTAACCTAAATAGATTCTGTGCAAGTAGTAGTCTGTCATGCATATATACACCCTCTTTATTTAAAAAAAAAAAAAAAAAAAAAAAAAAAACAAAAGAAAGATTTTGGGGTGTCTGTCTGTTAATGCCATAACTATGTATTTAGGCACAGATATTTTTTTAATATCTCTCCTTTTTTTTTTTTTTCTTTCTGCCTTGTTTAGGATGGCCAAATGATTTGGTGATAGCAATCAGACCAGCCATAACAAATTAAATTTTCCTGAAGTTACATACATTTGCATTTTGGAGTGCTTGTCTGTGCAGTGTTGTTGCAGATTGTTACTATGATTTTTATCTGTGGTATTTTCTATTTTCTGTATTGTTAGGTCTGGCTTCACACCCCTCAGTTGTCAATGCCA